CGCCGGGCCCGGTTGCTGCTGCCCAGCCCCCTGCCCGGGGATGAACGGGGCAGCCCCCGGGCTGCGGGCCTGCCTCCTCCCGGGCACTTCACCTCCCGGGGCAGCAGTCCCTGTGCCAAACCCCTTGAGGCAGCAGCATCCCGGGGTCCTGGTCCCTGTCCCCGTGCTGCTGGGGCTGATGGCAGGTTGGGTCCCTTTGCAGCTGGCTCATCGCCATCCTGGCCCAGGCCAACCCCCTCTTCGGGCCGCAGCTGAAGAACGAGACCATCTGGTACGTGCGCTTCCTCTGGGAGTGAGAGCTCCCTGGGAGCCGGCGCCTGGAGACACACACTACCCCCAAAATCATCACCGTGAGTGGGCAGAGGGCTGGGTTGGCAGAGATGTCCCCACTTGTCTGGCTGGGGAGGGAGCCGCAGCCTGGTCCTTGCTGGGGGGGAGATGCTTTGGCTTCTGCGCATTGTGGCAGTAGTGAGCTGGTCTCAGCATGGGGCTGCTGCCTCAGCACTGGGACTGAGCAAACCAAACAATCCCCCTGAGCCTGTGGTTCCCTAGGTTTGGGGGGGCTCCATCATGGGTGCAGTTTGGTGCTAACTTCTCCTTTCTCCCTCCCCCAGCTCTTGCTGCTGTTTCAGCCTCTACCCTCTCATACCAGACAGCCCCCAGAGGTGCTGGGACAGAGGCTGGACCCGCTGCCCCAGCGCACCCTGGGCACTGCAACCTGGACCAATGATGGCTGGACCCCTGAGCATGGCAGGTGGCACTCCTGCCTGGGATGAGGGTCTGGTAATCCTGGCCCCGGGATCAGTCACACTACCAGGGAGAGATCCCCTCAGCTGGTCGAGTGCTGCAGTCACTGACACTGAGCACCGTCCTGAGAGAGATCTGTGTGCAGTGCCAGCGGATCCTGTCCCTGCAGTGCTTGCCCTGCTCCCTCCAGCGCACTCAGCCCTAACCCCCCAAGTGAAACCCCTGCTCATAGCCCAGGCTGCCCAGCTAATTACCATATCCCTCGTCATTTCAGGCACCGGCTGCCCCTCTGCATGAGAAGGCAGGAGCCCATTGCATCCTCCGTTGTATGGTCAGTCCTCTCCGGTGAGGGTGGTCCTTGCTAAGACAGATTCTGGCTGTGGGGGTGAGAAGAGAGGGCTGACCCTGGAGGAGCATGCGGCCCCCTGTGGGTGTGACGAGGGAGGTGCAGGGCAAGAGGGTTCTGCTGCTTGGCAGCCAGCTGGAAGGGGTTAAAGTGGTGCTGTGTCTCCTCCCGCCTCAGCAGTGAGGGTGCTGCAGTAGTGTCTAGGTACCACCACCGCCCCCAACCCGTGTCCAGGTTCTGAGAACTGAGTAGGGCATTGTGTTTTACGTTTCCCCTTATTTATCAGATAATTTATCTGTAATTATTTATTTGTCTGTGTTTGTTAAATTTGTGTTGTGGAAATAAATCCTTTTTCTAGTAAGTGATGCTGGAGGCAGAGTCACTTGCTGCTTTGAGGCTGAGGAACGGTCTTGGCTTTATTCAGACTTCTTCCCTTTGCCCTGAGCCTGCTCTTGCACCATGAGAACAAGGCTGGGATCCTCAGCTGTTGAGCAGGAGAGTGGTGTGCATGGAAAGTTTTATCCTTGATGCCACCTGTACACTTGTCCTGTGGGACCAGGGTCACAGGTAGGCAACAGCATGTGCTAGAGGGAGAATTGGGTAGCTCCCCAGCCTCCCTGGTGATAGGCAACGGCGCTGGGCCCATCCCTGTGGCTATGCAGCAGCTGGAGACGTTTAGTGGCCTCTTTCCCAGGCTGGGATGGGGAATTAAGTAAAAAGCAGGGAGAAACACCTTCCAGGGGCTCTGAGTGGGCAGGGCAACTTGCTTGTCTTAGAAGGAGGGCAGCAAATGATGCTGTCTGCGAGGGTCACAACAGTTCCGTTTGGGTCAGCGTTTCCCTTGTCACTGCCCACTTAAGAGGTGAGCTCAGCTGTCCTGCTGTCACAGAGACCATCCACTGGCAAGAAAACAATTCCATCATCCCACCATGGCAGCCTGAAGCAACGCTGTGCAGATGTGCCCCCCAGTCATGCTGCCAGCCCAGAGCTGTCACTGCTGGGGCGGTGTCTGTTAGAAAACAAGACCAGTGCTGGATGGCTCAAGGAGTTTCTTTATTGCTACAGGAATGGGAACAGCCGAGTTCAAGTAAAAAGTGGCGGGCTCCAGCCCCAGGGGAGGAAGGCTCGTGCCTGTGCCCAGAGCTACAGCGCAGATCTGCCCTGGGGCAGGCAGCTGGGCTGGAGTGAGGTGGTTGCCCCATGGGCAGGCCCAGCCTGCGCTCACAGCGGAGAGAACCACTGCTCCTGGCACTAGTGCCTGATTAACTTGTGGGACGTCGTGGGGCAGATGTGCCCGGGAGGGAATGTATGAAAGGAAACGCAACCCACTTTGGTGGTGCCTTAGGAAGCAATCCCTGCGCCCTCAGTGCTGAGCCTGGGGCGTTGGCTAGGACCATGGGAGGATTGTCCCAGGAGGGGAAGACGTGGCAAAGAGCAGGATGCCTCTTAAGGAATGCTCTGAGAGGGGCCAGACTGGGCAGAGCAGCTCAGTGGAGCTCGTGGCTCACCTGGTTCCTGCAGTAACTTCACTGGTGCCTGCTGTTTTCCAGCCCGTGGGCTTGTAACGGACTGCAGAAAGGCCACCCCGGGTGATGAGCTACAGCACCTCACCAGCTTGCTCTGCAAACCAGTGGCTGAGTCATGGGGTGGCCTGGTGCTTCAGGCCACTGCCCTGGGTTGGCCTCCTCAGCGATAGTGTCCTGCTTATCTGAGGGACCTGCCAGGGCTGCAGCCTTGAGCCCGCTGGCAGCAGAGGACTTTGCTCTACACCACGTAGTGAGGCAAAGGCTGGAGGCCAAGGAATGCAAAGATTAGGACTGGGGCAAGGCAGAGAGGAAAGCTCTGGTGTCTGTAGCTGCCTCGGCCCACAGGTTTTGGTTCTGACATGGAGATGATGGAGTGCAGAGTTGAGATGGTCTTCAAGAAAGAGTCCAAGCCCTCGGAGCCCAGGCTGTCAGCCAGTCCTGGTTCTGCTGGTGCAATGGAACGGCAGGTACCACCAGTGGTGTCATGGCCCATTTCCCTGGCTTGGTGGCACCACCACCTTGTCCAGCCAGAGCAGGGTGAGCTGGGCCAAGCGCAGCTGCCGGCGGTGGATGCGGCGCAGCCGCAGGAGGTAGAGGACTATGGCCAGCACTACAACCAGGATGCAAGCGAAGAAGAGATAGTGGTTGTAGACAAAAGAGAGGCGCAGCCAGGAGGCATGTGCTTGCCGGATGCTCTCCTGCCGGAGATCCCTGTGGAGAAGAGTCAGGACTGGCCGTGAGATGCTGTGGGATACTACCAGGGTCCTGCACCGCCAGGCAGCAGAGCATTACACCCTCGCCTGGTGTGGCAATTCCCTCTCCTCCCCAACCACATTTCCCTGAGTGGTGCTATCAGTGAGCCAATGGTACCTGAGTGGCAGAAACCGTGTCTTGTAGAGGATGGCTCCCAGCGTCCACTGCACCTCTCGGTCGTACACCAGCTGGGCCGTGCGCAGGCTGGGGTAGTCCAGGGGGAAGCGGAAGCCCTGGTGAAGAACTTGGTACATCCAGGCCGATTTGAAGCACTGATACCTGCAGGCACAGCACACAAGAGCATCACCTGCACCACGGTCCCTCACCCCAGCAAAAGCACCCCCCAGGAGGTCCAGCTATGGTACCCCCCCCAGCCAAACTGCTTACTTCAGCCGGTGCTGGTCGGCGTGTGCTGAGTAGAGGCCACCACGGAAGCGCTGGGTCAGCACCTCCCATCGCTGGCTGCAGTACTCCTGGGGAATGGAGAAACTGAGGCTCAGAGCGGAGAATCGGCCCCCGCTCCCTCCCAGCCCCAGGAACGGCGGCTCCCTGGCCCCTAAGCTGGGGCAGCACCCACCTGGGCGGCGGAGGTGAAGGTGGGGGCACTGTAGCGGCCCCCCAGGCGTAGCACATCCTCGGTGCAATAGAAGAACTCAGAGAAGCCGTAGAACTCGCTGTTGCCGAAGTCGATGGGTGCTTTGTAAGCCCCCACCAGGGAGGCCTGGCTGCTGTTGGGCCCCCCTAGGAGGGGCTGTAGCTGCTCCACGCAGGCTGGCCAGTCCCCTCGCCCCCGCACG